CCTGACTAACACGACTATCTTCTTCCTCCAGGCCCCACTCTATCTGATCATATGGGACCTCTTCCATGTCGCCCTCGTTTAGCGTAAGGATCAGGTGATCCTTGCCCTTAGCCTGACCCGAGATGGTGCGGCCTTTCCACTTCTTGCCCTTATCAAGGTCCTTATGCCAGAAGTGGAAACTGGCATGGGCCGCGCTTCAAATGCTACCACTTCCCTACTCAAAGTATCGTAGGTCATGGCAGACTCCCTACTCTTCTCAAAGAAGTGTTCGCGCAATGGTTTGGGCATGGCGCGATAAAACAGTTGGACCAGCTGGGTCTCAGTGACCCCATGGCCAGGGACCGCTACTAACTCATCCATGACACCCTTGAATGCCCTGGCACTCCTCCATTGGCAAGAATGGATCGTCTGCAGTTTGTCGGAAGCTCTAACACTTCGCGTGACATTTGCGAATCTCTCGCGTAGTAGCTTAAAGAAATCACTCAGAGGGGTGATTAAAGAATACGCGACCATATCGTTCTTGCACTCGGCAGCGCGGCAAAGCGATCTGGCGAAGCTAGCTGCTTCGTCTTTAAGGGCATGGAAGGCAATGAAGACATGTTCCTCATGAGCTATCTTCTGGAGGTGAACATAAGAGTTCACGTTTGCCTCCCAATTATCGAAGTTCTCCTCCTTCCCGCTGTAGGAATCAGGGAACTTCACCTTAACGGGCTCTCTACGTGGTCAGGCCTCTTCCTCTTTAGGGCCCACTATCTTGGCGCCTTCAATGGCACCCACGCAAAACTTTTGAGTGCCCTCCACAATCGTGCGCAATTCGGTGCCTACGTGCATAATCATATCCTTTGCAAAATCCTTAAAACTGGTGCGCATGGATTGCAGCGTGATGTCATGGCCCTTTAAATAGCCCAACTGTTATTGCTGCGCCTTGAGTATCACCTCCACGCTCTGTGATAAGATCTCCACCTTCTTTTGGAGATCAACTTGCGCTGCCAACCTCCCATGTTCTACTTTAGCGGCCCTCAAATCCTCTTCCATTTTCTCGGCCGCCTCCAATCTCCTCTTCCTCTCGTGGGCAAGGCGGAGTTTCCACTCTAACTTTTTCTCCTCCTCCATCGCCTGCCGCTTCATGGGATTTTGTTCACCCTCCAATTCCCTAGCAAATTGTTCCCACTCTGCCCGAGGGACAAACAACAATGCTTCATCCTCCTCCCCCAGGGCCAAGTTAGCTACCCATTCGTTCACCATTCTCTCCATCTTAGCTTCCGCCTCCATCTTGGCTTTGGCCTCTCGCGCCCCACTGGATTCCCGTCTCTCTTTTGTCCTTCCTCTCCTGTCTAGTGGTATCTCCTCCTCTTCTTCTTCTGTTTCTGACTCTATTGCCGCCAATTTCTCCCCCTGGTCCTTTTTCCACTTTTGAAGTTCCTCCTCCATTTGCTTCTGCTTGGCTTTTTGATCCTCCATCAAGGCCAACATCTTTGCCTGCTTAATAAGCTCCCTCTTCTCCATCTTCTCCCTCTTCTCTCTCAGGATGGCGGCGACTTTCTCTTCTTGCTCTTTAGTATATGAGGTGGTGATCTTACCGCCGCGCGTCTCAACCATGGTGAAAGATGCACAACCGAGTGTTAGTTCCACTCCTCACCACTTAGACTTCCACCCCCTAACTTACCTATTGACTCTCTAAGGACCACAAAGCCTTACCCTTCAATCCAGCCAGGTTACCACGGCCAACGGAAGCTTTCGCCACCACTGTCCTTTACAATCCATACCCAGATGCCCAGCACCTGCGGTCAATCCCACCTGGCTTTCTCTTCGGTTCAGTACCCTGTCAACTATGGTCACTAGCCTTGACCTACTTCTAAGCTGTCACTACAAGACTTCAGTGCTGATCAGGAGGCATTTAAGGAGATCCCCATAACTCCTCAAGAATTATTTAACGTCGCAGACAGGACGACGAGATCAGCAAGTCCTCTCAAGACTTAGACAGCCTGTTGTGCAGCCCACAGCTCGGATTTTGGGCCTACCGTGCCACACCGAGCAGTCCGCCGGTCAGTGCCGGTTCTTGGGAGGGTTTGTGTCCTCCAGGACAGTCTAGTCGTCAGACACAACCTTTAGCCCTACTCAGCCCGTGTGGGTTCGATCAACAAGGCCCTATCCTTCATACACGAAGTTCCTATCACCTAGACAGAAGAGACTCAATGCAGAAAGAAGAGACAGACAAACTCAGCAAGCACCATAGGGTGAGTGCACATCCATAGGGCGAGGGAATAGGCTAAGGGCTTGACGAGATTAAACCAACTCCATCTTGGTCAAATTTGTGGTCAACAACACTGGTCAACGCCTGGTCAACGTCGTGGTCAATTCCGGTCAACCCCTCAATCAACGCCCAAATCAACCTTGGTCAATTTCTTGGTCAACGCCCAAGTCAACTCTGGTCAACCCTTTGGTCGACGGTCAATTCGGCTATGGCTGACGACACTTTCTCTCTTACCAACCCTTGCTTCTCTTTTCCCCCTCCTTTCTTCTTCCTCGCTGCTTTCTCTTTTCACCCCGGCTATGAGTTCCTTTCCCTTCTTCGTCTCTCCCTTCTCCTTCCTCGGCTATGGCTTCTCTCTCATCCTTCGTCTCTCCCTTCTCTTCACTCGTCTTCTTTCTTCTACCTTTGTGCCCGAGCTTTGCGGCTATGGCCGCCTTCTTCTTCCTTGGACCGCACAACAATCTTGTATCACTCCTCTCTCTCTCTCTCTCTCTCTCTCTCTCTCTCTCTCTCTCTCTCTCTCTCTCTCTCTCTCTC